TTCGGGCGGCACTGTGCACGGCTTGGATGGTGGTTTCATATTGGCTGACCATGGCCCGTAAGTACTTGCATGCGCGAACAGCTGCTCTTCTTGTGCTTGGCCTATCGTCGGGCTGGTTCTTGGCAGCTACTGCGAGGATATCTCGTGCCTCTTCTTCTGGCGACCGTTTGGGTTCCGTATCTGGGGCAGGTGCATTGGGAGCGGTACCTTGGACTGGCGCCTCTTTTGCGCGTGGCAAGTGGTCTGGGATCGGCAACTTCGGGTGTAAACGCCATCCATCAAAGAAGTATATGCCGGGCAGGGACAGAATCTCCTGGTCTGGGCCCGTCTGTGCTACTATGTGCCCGGTGCGTGCTTTATACAGTCCTGTTGGTAGGCACACGTAGGTGGGAAAGTGTGTGCGATCAGCAGCATAGGCATATAGAACAACTTCAGAGAAAGGGAGATTCTGCTCGGGGAGCCACTTGTGTTGAGCTCGTAACCCTGCTTGAACTTCTTGGAAGCGCTCCCTGTTAAGCTGTTTTTTTTTCAACCGGTATTTTTTTAATTAAAGATGGTATTTTTTGGGGGGCTGCCAGCAAGACATGTCCACTCCCAACACAATAAAAAAATTGGTTTGATCAACCCGAAGAAGGGGGAAGGCAACACCAACTGCAACAAAAATGTCTCATGAAGCAATCTGCGTGCATTTTTTTTCAGCAGTGGCAGTCGGCAGTGAGTAAGTGCGGATGGCTTGGCTGGACGCCTAGGCTTAATTGGGACTGGCCACCAGAAACATTAATTAATTTGGCGCCCCGCTCAGGGGTAGCCATGCCTGCTTGGGGTAGCCCTTGCGTGTGGCGCCCGGCAAAATCGCTTGTGCTGCTGATGGGACCATGGGTCCATAGCGATTTTTTTTCCACATTCAGGACACGGCTGTCGGCCAGGCCGACCTTGCTTACCCAAGCATGTAGCATTGGTGCTCTGGTGGTGGGCAAGGGTTTGCTTTGTGTCAGCGCCTCGCGGGATACGGAGGAGGTGGCTGCACAAAGGGCACCGTATTGCGTCCTTCGCATCGACCAGTGGAGGTGGCGGCTGCAAAGCCAAAAACCGCGCCTCCAGGCTGGCGGTGGAGGGCACAGAGGTCGGAGGTGGCGGTTGCAAGGCAGCAAACCGCGCCTCCAGGCTGGTTGAACTTTTTCCAGCTTCTTGGTTCTGGCCAGCTTTGTCAAGCACCGAAGCTTCTGAATCTGGCGATCTTGGTTTCTTCTCTTTCTGGCTCCTTCTGTTTCTATATCGGGCTACCACGCAAACTGGGCCATGGCGCGATCTGCTCCGGGATAAACTTGGGGGAGAACGCATGAAAGTAAAGAGGTGTCATGAATTTTGATAGATTGTAAGTGTCCACAGCTACATTGTGTTTCAGTTGTTTCAAATCTAGATCCAAGGCATCATCTGACAGCTGTTTGTTTTTCGAACTTTAAACTGGAGAAATGGTCATCTAAGATGGTAGTATTGCGCAAAAACATGAAACCTGAGCCAACAACAGTCCCCAACAAGATTCATCACTGCCATTTCGTTTGATGTCTGAAAAAAGTTTGAAAGTTAAAGCTGCCAGCGACACATTTTTTTGCCAAGAAAAGCGCGGTGTGAAGTGCCAGACCCCGCCATTTTTCAAATGCGGGAGTGTGACAGAGCTCGCTGCTTGTGTCCTTTTTGAAAGTAGAGAGAGTACAGTGGCTCACAGCAGTAGCCACTGGCAGTGGCGCTGCTGATTTCCACGACAGAAGGCCAGCCCGCTCAGATTTGGTCTGAGTAGGGTCTGCATTGCCATGCTTTGCAAGGAATGGGGGTTTCCAGCTATAGATCAAGCGGGATGGCTCATTTCCACCAAGACCAGTCCTTGGACCCCTTCGAGCCACGCTGCCCATTGCAGTAGTAGCTGTGCTGAACTCGGGCCCACCGGTCGTTTGCTGCTATAGGCTTCCCACAAAATTGGCATGGCTCTTTGTCAATTCTAATTTTTCCTTGTGCGCGAAAGCACTTGCTGCTATTGGCCTGGTGTTCTTTCAAGGCTGCCCCGTTCGCGTGCCCCTTGAGCACATGCTGGCATATTGGGCAGCGGATGGTGACGACCGTGTCTTTGCGGTCCCTCACGTCCGCCAGATGCCTGTAGAGCGGAGGGCTCGAGCTTGGGCTTCTGGGCACCCGGTCCCTGACGTCTGGTTTCGAATCCTGGAAGGGTGAAGGTGACCTTCGGGATTCATGTGCTGCTCCTGTGCTCGCCTGAGGCGCTTCGGTCAGTGTCAGCCTCCGGCTCCTGGATGGCCGTGCCTTTGGAGGGGATTGCTGAGAACTAGACTCTCTTTTTCGGCGGCTTCGGCTCTAACTTCCCGCAAGCGCCAGAAAGGTTTTGGCGGATCTGGTGGCTGACGGCGGATTTTCTCTTTTGGTGGCATCGGCTCTTCTTTCAGCGGCTCCTCTGAGTCTGTCATTTCCGGCTCCTCATTCACCATTTTGTCTGTTTTTTTCGACGCTTCCTCTCCGACTGGGGCGGAACTGGAAGTGGTCGAACTGTTGCTGCTAGCAGCAGCTGCTGGGCTAGGAGGTGCTGCTGCTTCCGTGTCTTTTTCCACATCAACAGGGCTGGTTGGAGAAGACGCAAGCGTTTTGGCTTGCTCCTGAGCAAATCGCAGCATTTTGGTCTTGTTCTCAAAGTGTGATTGCTGCAAGCATGGCTTCGAGGATAAAGGCCCAATGCAAAACTGGAGTTTAAAAAAGATAGGTTTGATCCCTGAATGGTTTCTGTTTTATGATTTGTCAAAAAGATAGGTTTGATCCCTGAATGGTTTCTGTTTTATGATTTGTCAAAAAGATAGGTTTGATCCCTGAATGGTTTCTGTTTTATGATTTGTCACGTGTTGTGATTTTTGAACACGACATTTAAAAGTATTAACAGACATGACAACTCTTGAGTTTGGCACAACACATTGTTGCTTATGCGTTTGAGCCTGGGAACAGCGGCAGCATGTACATGACAAGTTGATGGGACGAGGCGGCATGCAGTTCTACTGAGTTTCCATTCTGCTGCAACGCTGCCCACATCCATTTTCCATGCTATCATCCAAGTTTGCAAGGTCGAAGAGTCAGCGCCAGTTGGTCCAGTCAGAATTGTTTGCCCAATGCCAACCAGACCAACTGTTCTCAGGCTCTCTGCGCCACCCTTGAGTGGTAGCAGAACTTTCAACTTCCCACACACCATATTGTTCTTCTCGGGGATCTCTGCGCCACTGTTGTGTGGTAGCATGCCCTTCTGTCCATGTCCATTGGCCACCATGCCAAGTTGCATCGTTCCACCTTTCGCTGCTGTCATTGTTCTGGCGCAGAGGTGTGTGCTCAGAGCGGTTCCAGCGCGTGGGCGGCCTTGGTTCGTTGTATTGGCGGTTGTCCCATCCTGGATGGTTGTCTGCGCCGCTGGGCCTAGCGGTGGCAGACTGTGATTGTGATCTGCGGCCTCGACCGCAATACGATGAATGCTGATGCATTGCCCAGGAGTCTTGGGAGGCAACCATTTTTCCACACCTGGGACAGGGCTCCCGTGCGGTGGGAAAAGACCCACTAGCACAGAGGCACTTGCTGGACGAGAGCTGGTGCTGCCGGAGAGCCCAAGCCCCCCCGCGCACAAAGTGGTTACAAATGTTGCATATGATTCCTGCAGGTGAACTTTGAGGTTCAGACTTTGTCGCAAAGACAGTGGGACGTTCGTGCACCGCGCCTGCTGCTTGTGCAGGTGGCGGCTCATTTGCCCAGGGGCCGGGGGTAGTGTTTGCAACATCTTCTGTTTGGATTGCTTGGTCTTGCTGCCAATTCCCCCATGAAAGTTCTGCTGTTTTCGCGTCTGTCCCCCACCAGTCTGGCCAGTAGTTCGGCACACTGCCATCTGAAGTCTTGCTATGATCTGAAGCTTGCGTCGGTCCTGCGCCCTGGTCAAGGGTAGCAGCTTGGTTGTTGGGGCCTGATGTGCCTCCTGCGTCCGCTTCAGGGGTAGGATGATCGCTTTGTTTTTTTTTTTGCGTTTCTATGTTTTCCGCGCCCTGTTGGGCACCTTCGCCTGGTGCTTGGCTTCCTGTGCCAGGGGTCGGGGTAGCGGAATTGCTTTGCGGCTCTGTGCTTCCTGCGCCCCGCTCTGGGGTAGCAGAATCAGCAACGCCTTTCTCTGTAGTTACTGGCGCACTGGGACTCGGACTAGGGGTGGCTTTTGGCTGCGCTTTTGAAGTAGCCACAACCTTGGCCCAGGTATTGCCAGATTGCTTGGCGCTGGCCAAGCTGCCAGTAGCCTTGGGTGTAGCAGTAGTGCCAGCACCTTTAACCATGGCGCGCAGGCCGAGAATGCGGTCAGTGAAGGCCAAACAGAATTCAGAAAAAAAAAAGAGTTGGACATGTACTAGTTATGCGACGAAAAATTATGTGGTCTTGCCTTCCTATGACCTTCTTGCCATCTTAGTTTAACTGATATGGGTATACCTTTTTTCAATATTCGCTACACACAAGTTAGTTGTTTGTGGTTCATGTTCATGGCCATGTTTTGTTCATATTGTTTTGGCCCTGTGTCATGCGTTTTTTACATGGCAGTCCGCCTTTTCCCGCGGTAGGCGGACTCCCAGCCGCCGGCTCCATCATGTATCAACAATGGCAAGAAGCAGAACATGGCATGTTCAAGCAGCCAACACACATGTGCACCCGAGGGACTTATCTATAATTGTGTATATATATATATATACATATATATATATGTATATGCACGATACACCATGATATGTCGCCACACCACCTGAATCAGACAACATGTAAATATTCCGGTTCAGTTTCTTTGCAAACTAAATAAATAAAAAATATATAATTATATATATATACACTGTGACAGTAACTATCCAATACGACAGCACATGTTTTCGGGAAATAAAAAACAAGGTACTTGTATTATATATGGCAGGGGTTGCATCCAGCAGTTTTGTGGCATAATGAGCAGCCATGGCCAGCATGCACAGATCGTCGTGGATCTGCCATCAGACCCATCGTCTGACGCAGAAGCACCATCCCTACCTTCAGATGCTTCCTCCCAACCAGACTTGCCTCCAGATGTAGGACCAGAAACAACACAGAGGCCATCCGGTTGCCAAAACGGATCCTGTTGCCACAATGGATGCCTGACCCTTTTGTCCGAAACAGGAGTATTGCAGAAACAGGTAGACGAATTGTCGAAATGCTTGGAGAACCTGACATCAGATGAGGCGAAGCAGTTACGATTTCAATGTTTGTCGCAATGGCAGCAACAAAGCACAGGATGGAGAAGATGGAAGGTGTTTGGGCAGACCTACCTCTGCAAAGAGGCGGTCCGCCAGGTGCTTGGTGTGTCACACAGAACAATCAATTCTTATTTGAAACAAGCCCAGGAAGGAAAGCTGCGGCCGGACGATAAGCTTCAACGCACACAGTCCCAAAGAGTTGCTTCCGCGGCAGTCGTTGCAAACAGCATGTTGCAATGGGTTTACGAGAACATTGCAGAAAGTTTTGCAGAAGGGTCTCGGTGGCTCGGGGAAGATGTAACCAGGACCAATTCGACCTCCGCAAGCAGCGGCTCGCGCAGTCTTCCTTCATTGACGGATGTCATTGCAGGGCGAGTGACTTCAGACCGGGATGACTGCAAGTGGCTCCACCCTGGTACAACTTTGGCTGAGTTGAAAGAACTGGCGGAATCATTTTTGGATTGTCGGTGCTCCTACTCCACCTTCGTGAGCTGCTACCACCAGAATTGGTGGCGCAAGCTCAAAGTAAGAGCAGAAGGGCATCACAGCAAGTGCATGATTTGCGAGAGGTTGAAAGAATTTCGGAGGCAGGTGGTGTCATCTGCAGACCAAGCGCTTGTGAAGTCGGAGCTTGAACAGCACAGGAAAGCTGTAATGTGTGACAGGGAAGTGGATCACTGGCTGCAATCCATGTCCAAGCTAGCCTGCGGGATAGCTCCAGGTGTGCCGCAGTGCTCCCTGCTATCCATTTGCATAGATGCTATGGACGCAGCAAAATTCCGCTGCCCGAGAAATGTTAGTGCATCCAAGGAATTTCAAGGTTTGTGGCGCCCGGAGATTCATCTCCTAGGTGCGGTCTCTCCTGTTTGCGAGCATTACTTTTTGTGCGATGCAGATTTGAAGAAAGATGCCAGCATGCAAGTCACGGTTTTGTCTTCTGCCTTGGACATTACATATCGCAAGTTGGCAGCACGAGGCCGTGATATGCCCACTGAGCTGCGCGTTCACACTGATAACGCCACAGCTGAGGGCAAGAACCAAACCATGCTGAAATTTGCAGCATGGCTTGTCAACAAGGGCCACTTCGATCAGGTAAGCCTAACCCAATTTCGGGTCGGCCACTCCCACGGGTTGAACGACCAGCGCTTTAGCGAGTGCCGCGAGGTGCTATCTGCATCCCCTGTCCTGGAAGAGCCTGCTGCTTACCAAGAAGTCTTACAGAAAGGCATGGCGGCGCGTGAGAAGCGGGATTTGGATGTCCAGCTTCTGCATGCCACCGCCGACTGGAAATGTTTCTTTGAACTCCTGGAACTGAATGTGTCTGGTCACACACAGACACATCAGAAGAAGGTTGCTGGCAAGGATGCCGTGCACTACTTTTTGTTGACGACCCGAGGGAGATTGGAGGAGGATGGGATGGAAAGCAACCTGCAAGAATTTCCGGGCAGCGTGGAGCGCCATGACCGAGACATCGTCATGACATGCTACATGTACTTGAGTTCGGATGTTCCAAGCCAAGAGCCGTTTGTGTTTGCGCCTCACGCTTTATTCGCGGGGCTACCAGAGCGACCAACGTTCCTGGCGCCTCGCAATGAGCTCACAGCAAGGCAGCAGAAGGAGTTTCAGAAAACTGCAGAGGCAATCGCTGCACCGCCTTGGAACATGAACGCGGGCTGCAGCTACTTGCTCAAATTTTTGCAGGACAACAAGGACAACCAGTCCGAAGATTGGCAGCCACTGCCCATGGATTGGGTGACGCTGCCAACCCGGGCGGTTGTCCAAGGCGCTACAGCACATTTCCCAACCCTGCACGACGGTGACCTGAGCTTTGCTCACGCTGAGCCAAGCAAAGTTTCGGTCTCTGCGAAGAGAAGCCGTGTGGGTGTTGGGCGACTGGCTGCGTGCCTCCAAGAGGAACTTGGGCCACCTGCTGCAACGTGTGGCAATGGCACGGCAGACGCCACCCCCATCGAAGTGGAGCTACCTGCTCCAGCAGACGCTCTGCCCACTGAGGAATGGGAGCTACCTGCTGCAACGCCTGGCAATGGCACGGCAGGCGCCCCTCCTACAATGTATGGTCGTGATGGGGCCCCTGCAAACACCGTCTATGAACCTGTCCCTCCTGCACGGCGGGGCCGGCCCCCAAAGGATCCCAACGCAAAGCCCAAGGCTTCACAGCGAGCTAAGGCGAAGGCGACGGCCAAAGCAAAGGCAGAAGCATCGCCTAAGGCCAAAGCCAAAGGGAAGGCAAAAGCCAAGGCCAAAGCGAAGAGTGCAGCAGCAAAGTCTGCAGCAGCTACCGCACACCGACGTGGTCGTGCGGCGCTGCCTCAACCTGCCGATGCACAACTTCCTTCCTGCGGCAAATGTCGCAACAGAGGTTGCGCTGTGTGTCGTCGGAAGGCTGGTTTGGTCCTGAACGCAAACAGAACGGCATGGGTATACCAGGCTGCAGCATGACTTGCTGCGTGTCCTCAGAAGGCAGATCTGGTCCTGCACGCGGAAAGGACGGCATAGGTATATAATTACCCAGCCGGATGACTGCATCAGGTGCGAAAAAAATGTCCGCATGTTCGTTGGGCAGCTGAGGTGAGACCTTGGAACATTTCTGTGGCTAAGGTTTTGCAGAGTAGAACTCATGAGCTCACATGACACCAGTGCATATATATCATCTTGCCGCAGCAGTTTTTTCTGGGCAAACATGTTACTGCGGGCATTTCAATTTGCTACAGTTGTTTCCTTTTCATTATCTGATAACTATTCAGTTCTCGTTTCTGAGTCATTGATCTCGGGGCCCCCCATGCCAAGGTTGTAACAGAGCAAGCTCCCATGTTCATTGTAGCTTGTTCTCTTCATTGTCTTCTTGAAATCATGGCGTCATATTCCCCCATGGATGTAGATGAAAATTCCGCCTTGACGGTGGAACCTTCGCGCTCTGGCAAGCGCGGTCGGAGGCAGGGAACATGTCAGCTTGTTTGCATATCCACTTGCCACTTGTACCCCCTGAAACTATTATAGTTATTCTAGCATGCATTTTAAAATGCCTTTGGTTTCGGACGAACTTGAAGGCTGCGCATGGTGTCTGGAGGAACTGTGTTAAAATTTCCCTCCCATGTTGCCCCTGCCAGGTTGTCTCGCCACCACACTGATCCTGGGCCGGCGCTTGTGTTTGAGGTCATCGCGGTGGACGACACGGAGGACGAGCCGCAGCATGATTTTATGGAAGTGTTTAGCCCCCCGCGAGTGGCGTTTGCTTGTCGACGAAAGCAGCTGGTGGCAGTGCATTCCATCGACCTTCTCTCTGGCTACGACTTGACTCAGTTTGATAGTCGCGCCCGAGCCCTGCGCTTGATAGATGCTTACAAGCCAAAATTTATCATAGTCAGTCCCCCATGCACAATGTATTCACAGCTGACCACCATGTGGAACCTGAAAAAGTGGGACGAGGCAACGCAAAAGCAAAAATTTGCCATTGCCGATTGCCTCTTGGATTTCGCAATGCAGATCTGCAAGCGCCAGCTATCCAACGGACGCTGGTTTGCTTTTGAACATCCTGCCAATGCAGAATCATGGAAACGACACACGGTTTTAGAGATAGCAGCACAGCCAGGAGTTATATGCACTGGTTTTGACCAATGTCGAACTGGCCTCAAATGTCCAAAAACACTGAAGCCCATCAAGAAGCGCACTACCCTCATGTCCAACGCGGAGGGCGTGGCAGCTGAGTTTCAGCCTTTGCAATGCACGTGCACTGAAAGCCATCAGAGAATCCAAGGGTCGCAGGATGGCATTCCTCTTGCCAGGTTTTGTCAGAAGTATACACCAGAGCTTTGCGAGCACTTGGCATGCGCTGTGGAAAGAACCGTGCGCCCTCAGCAGTGAAGTGTGGCTGATGTTCGCTACCCTCAGAATGAGGGCGCGGGTTTCAGACCGCCGCTGAGGTGCGGTGTGAGAGAGCCGTGCCCATGGCCATGCAGCGCAGACAAATCAAGGCGAGTGAAAACAGTCTCAATAGTCGTTGGTCCCGTGGTCAAGGTTTGTTATTGGTTATTACTTCTAGACTCTAGATGATACGATTTTTGACTGCAATCATTCCTTAGCTGTAAAATAGTAGTTAAGTATCTGCCCCCTGTTACACAGCATGACATAGTTTACCAAGTTTCCTGGATCAATGAGATGCTATGTTTATGTAGACATTTTGAAATCGGGGTCTCTTCGGAGGTATCTTGACTTCTATAATTTGGGGGATACCAGTCGCACAAGTGCAATGACTTGACACAGTCGACCTGGTTTGGGAATCCCTCGGAGAAATCATCGGCGAGGCAAAAGGGTTTAGAGTTAGGTAAATTTGGACGTTTTTATTTCCAATATCTGGTCAAAACATTTGGACGATCTTTTCTGGCTCAGATTTTGGACGAGGTACCCGGAGGGGATGCAACCAAGATTTAGACGATGTAGGGGTACAGGATTCCCGTACCTAGACATAGGCCAACGACTACAGACATTGGACGATCTTTGTGCTCAAATGTATGTTTTGGACGATGTCAGGGTGCAGGATTCCCGCATGTAGACATCACCTAAATCATCGGTTTTTGTAGGAAGATCACCCAACGACTACAGAAATTGGACGATGTCACCCCTCAGGATTCCCGTAGGTCGACTTCACCCAAATCTACAGAATTGGACGATCTCACCCCTCAGGACCTCAGGATTCCTGAATCTCAATAATTTAATTCATCTCAGTTTTCCCGGACGCATTTTGACACCTCATCACCTGCGGAGCCGGAGCCATGTCTCTCAAAGCGGAGAAGCAGGAGGACGAAGAAGATACGAGCATGCAACTGGAAAATGCAAAGGCTGAGGATGAGGAGAAGGCAGACAATGTCCTACCCCGTGACCATGGGGCGGCCATGCCGACGGAGGCCACATTCTACGAAATCGCCTATGCTGCTTTGAGTGCAGAACTCAAGCGGCACGGCGGTCCTGCCCAGTACCTCCGAACACACAAGATATGTGAGGATTCAATTTTTTTGACTCATTTGCAGACCTTTGACCGGAGTGACTTGGACTACCACGGCCCGACGCTGCCAGACATGGACACAGAGACAAAGTTCATCTTGAGGCTTTGCGATTTGGGCATCATGCCCGAATGCAGTCCGAAGCCAGACCCGCAACTGTGCACGGCGCTCGAATTGCTAGATGAATATTTGAGGCATACTTTCATTACTTCGACTGATGTTTTGCAACTCTTCCAAGGCCCAGATAGCAACGACAACGACCCCAAGTTTTGGGCGCACTACTTGAAAGGGATGGCCCGTGCTACCACAATTTTGTTTGTGGCGCACAGCCTTTGGGTGCGAAATTGGGATGTGAGCATTTTGCATCCTTCTCTTTTTCGATCTATGCAGCATGTTCACTGCCGCTTGGGAATTATTGGAGGCGATGCCACTGCGATAGCCCTCGAGAATGGGAAGCTGAGTGCCAGGGGGTCTATCCGCAAGGAACACAATGTCATTTGTTGGCTTGGGGTTTTGCGGACGCTTACCAAAAAAGGCATCAGCCCAACAAATATCATTGGGGAATGGAATGCGCGATGTGTCAAAAAGGCAGAAATCATCGGACAAAAAAGGTCAGCGCTGCTCCAGCTACTGGCTTACCCGGCTTGCGTTCAGGATTTGATTTTGAAGCACAACAGTATCCTGGGCGATTCTTCTGCCTTCCGAGAGGATGCATTCAAGAACAACCGGCTGCAATTGGGCTATGCTCCTCGAGGGATGCCAGCAGCATGGTCCAAGCGGCTCACAGTGACAGAACCGGGCTTATGCCTAATGCTGAACTATATCACGGAAGCACAGATCAGAAAAGCCCTGGGCAGCAAAACACAATTGGATAAGGAAGGCTTAGAAGAAGCGATGAAGATGTCCCAGGCCCTCATCTCTTTGGCAAGCGAACTTCAAGAGCAAGCTCCGGTGAAAGAAGACGATTTGGACCGTGATGTTTTCACTCCTTTTCTCAAAGGAGATTTCAATCTGGAACTGGCTTTGCAGTCTGCATTGTCCGACCTCAACCCTAACTTTGCTCCAGCAGATTTGCCGGCAATGAAGGGGTTGCTCGCCTCATCCCTGGCCGCTAGGGACGGCACAATGGCGAGCATCGGGGTTGCCAGTACAATCCAGCCCGGTGACTTGGAGAAGCAGGCTTGGGAAGTGCAATTTGCCGCCATGAAGCATGATGTGCAAATTTTCCTGGCATGGAAGACGCGTTGCCTGGACAGGGACAACGCTATCTTCTTTCAGAAGCTGCAGCATTTAGCGAACCGGCAGACCAAAGCCAGAGAGATTGCCCAGTCTGTCCTCAACGTTGCCAGCCCGCAGTGGTCCATCTCAATTGTGCGCTTGGATCCGGACAAGCATGGCGCCGAGTCAGAGGCCAACCATGCCATTCACGGGCTGCAAAAAAAAATTGCAGCCTTGCAGCAGCTGCGCAATGTCTCAGATATCTTGAATGTGGTTTTTTTGAACTGGGCAAACCCGGGCACTTTTTCAGCAAATGCGTTACGCTTGCAAGCAAGCATAGCTGGTGCATATGTGAACCAACCAGGCACCACAAACCTGGGAATGGTGGTCATGCCATGCTGGCATTACCAGCCAGGCCATTTGCACAAATCAGAGGCGCAGGCAGTGAAACTCTTGACTAGCAAGGGGCTCAACATTGATCTCTCCTGCGTCGTGGCATTCAAAGGAAAAACAGATGAACGCGAGAAAAGAAGCTTGGTCTACCCTTCCCGGCTTTTGGTCCCGATGGATGCAGACCATTCGAAACTCTGCTACCAAGTTTGGCGCAGCGTTCCGATGATGCAGTTGCCTTTGGTCAGTGAGCTTCCATTGCTGAAAACGAAGGACATGGTGACTATCGAGGATATCCGCGACGACGCCTTGCCTGAGACAACAAATCAAGACACAAGGCAGCCACAGGGCGAAAAGCATCAACAACTTGGCGTTGAAGCAGGCCGCAAAATCGTGGAGGCACTGTGCACAAACCTGCAGGAGCAACAGCGCGGCGCATTCGCATTTATCGATGCCACCGCGCACACTCTGGAATTTGCCAAGGCCTGCTACCTGGAGAACGCCGAAAAAAAGTTGTCATTGCCTTTGTATTACATTGGCTTTGCAGAAGGGGCCGAGAAATATGAATGGTCTTGCTACCATATGAAGGCATGGTTGGCAGATGGATTTCTGTCCGGCGCTGTGAAGTTGCCTCCAGGTGCCGTATTGCCTGGGGAAGAGTTGCCCGAGGGTACTGCAGCGGCCGTCCCTCCACGCCCTGAGTTGACGACATTGGTTTGGTGCCAGAAATGCAAAGCGGACGGGCTTCCTACTTTGCGGGTGCCAGACAAAACAATGGTTACGTGGAGCGACCATGCCATGTATGGTTCTGATTTCAAATCTTGGCTGAGCAACTTGTCAGAGCAAGGTGTTCCAATCAACTTGAAAGAGACGCAGGCACAGAGCAATGCGGGAACAGGGGGCGCATCTGGAAGTGGAAATAATGCTACCCCGCCTCCCCCAGGCACTGACACAGGACCTCCAAACAAACGACGACGAAAGGGGGCGAATTCCAACCAAGTGACTTGCGTAGATGTGCCCACAATCCCAATGAGCGAGTTGCCCTCAGCTCTGGCATGGCAAGCAGACCTTCCAAAGCCCAGTGCTGCAGCCGGAGGCTGCCAAGTGGTCATTGCTGTTGGCCAAAGGATTTTCCTGGTGAACCCCACAGATGCCGAGAAGACCTTGCCCTGCGGCATGCAAGTTGCAGGTTTCTACAAGGGCACATTCCAATTTGAGAAGAAGCCAGCAGACCGGGATACTAGCGATGTGCGCTTTACCTTGAAGGACGCCAATGACAAAGTCATGTTCCAAAATGCATGGCAGCCTTTGCTGGCTATCATTCAAGAGAAGCGGAAACTCAGCCCCCTGGACGCGAAAATCTGCTACTATGACATCGTCGATGCCCCCACCCCTGAAAACAGCAGCTTCTTTACTTTGAACGAGAAGCACAAGGTATTTTTTCGGCCTGCAGCAGCCGTAGCCAAGCAGGAAGATCCAAGCGGAAAAAAAACATTGCCATGGACACACATGGCTGGCTGTGTATCTCCAAACTTGTGGGAGACCACATGCACCAAAATTGTTTGGGGAGTTTCTTGGCAAGTGCGAGGATTGACACCTGTGCGTCCGTGGGTGCAGCTTTGCGAACATGTGAAAATTCCTGCGCAGTCTGCGGTGGAACTCACCACGTCTGCCACAGGTGCCAATGCTGCAGCTGCAACCCCTGCCAACTAGACGCCTTACTGAGAAAGCCGTGCAAGAATCAGCAGGCGCAGTGGGAAAGAAATGGGTCGGGAATCAGCCTGGTTGGCTTTATGTGGTTACCCTTCGAATATATCAATACACATTTCCATTATTATATGATTATCCACCTGTATAAAAATTAGAAATATATGTTAGTTTGATTTATCAATTCGCTTCCGAAAGGTTGGATTTGTGGTAACACTTGTCATTAATTATTGTGCTGATGGAACCACCATAAGAACCACCTAATGCCCATAATCTTGTTACGCAAAAAAAGATTCTTTTCAATTGTCTCTTTGATACTTTTATCCATTTGCTATGTTGATGGTTTCCTATTCACCCCCATCTCACCAGCCCCAGAACGAAGGCACAAATTTTCCAAGGAACAGCGAACTCATCCGTAAAACTTCAGGATCTAGGCTTAGGCTTCACAGAATCCCAGCGCTTGCACTAAATCAAGTAGCTGTTGCAGATCACTTGCAGGGTTTGATTCTTATCTTCATTATTTTGTTCGCTTCTTCTTGGGGTTGAGGTTCAGATGTTTGTCATACATTTTCAGCAAATTGGTTGTTAACTTCTTGTTGTTACTCAAGATAGTTGCAGTTTGTTCAGCATTGATTTGACCATATCCAAGATATGTTTTCCGGTCATGGATCCGAGCAAAAACCATTCCTATTTCGTCTGGAACCTGGGCGCGCTTGAGATCATTAATCATTCGGTGCCTTCCGCTGTGTGTGCGCACTCGTTGTCCACATTCAGATGCCCCTTTAGGAAAAAAGGCTGTTCTAAGTCTGGCAACTGCCTTGCAGCAAGTATCTTTGTTACGCACAGGATCCTTAGCATCTGTCCTGCAGGAAGGAAACAGATAGCTACCATCCTGGGGCCATTTCCAGACATCCCATGCAGTTACAACACCAAAGCATCCTTTCTTACTCGTCCGCTTTTTCCGGATTGACTTTTGTTTCAATTTTTTCAAGGCAGGCAGAATACCCTTCAACATGTGTTTCACTGTCGCGCCTTGCCGTTTCAAGGGAGCGATGCGAACACATTGCTGCTTCCATTGAAAGTCCCCGGCTTTTAGGCGCAGGACTTCTGTGATGCGAAGGCATAGCAAATGACTCAACAATAGGGCGACGTAAAGCCAGGTCTGCCCGTTGTCAAGGACATGCTGTAGCCATTGGCACCACAAGTCACCAGGTAATGGTGTTGCTTTCCCTAAACGCTTTTTGCTTGACTTCTTTTTGCGTGGACGGCCAGGTCTACGAGGCATTATTGTGTGATGAAGCAGCTGCTCGGCCCAAGTGTGCGTGTGGCAAACAACACGTTTTTGAGCTAGAAACAGCAAGCATAATATAGTTCCATTTTTCATCATTTTTGAATGGAAAACAATAATTTCACCTGGGTTTCGGCTGGGAGTCCGCCTACCGCGGGAAAAGGCGGACTGCCATGTAAAAAACGCATGACAGAAAAACACAAGGGAAACCACAAACAAGAAGACACATTGCACACAGACACATGCACACTGACTTACGAATAACTAAAAGGTTACAACTTCAAACTCTTCAAGCACAAATACAACCAGAAACAATATGACAGACAGACACACCTACGATGAAAACATTACGTTGCAACTTCAACAAACACATACACTCACATACGCTCACACACGCTCACACACACACATATTATATATATATATGTAAATGTATATATAGACTTAAAGTCTTCAACAGTGTATCTACACTGGCAGTGAAACAATATTTTTGCTTTGACTTTACAATTTCAAGCATATTTCTCTACAGCGCGGGTTTTTGCATTGCACCTGCTGCCATGGCTGCAAGCAAAGGCAAAGGAACAAGTGAGAGCGGCAGCTTCGCACCAGTTTATGTAACTTACCCGTCAGAGAATGTCGCAACACACTCGCCGACCTATGCCCAAGTTGCTGCTGCGGATAGCACGCCGCAAAAGCAAGGCTCCCACAGCAAAGGGAAAGAGAAAGGAAAAAAAAAAGTAATGAAAAAGGGACAGAAAAAGGGAAAGAGAAAGGAAAAGAGAAAGGAAAAGAAGAGAAGAAAAGTGAACCTCCAGCTACCAGAACTGACGCTGGCGCTGGAGACACGCATTGGCCCCCACTGCCACAATCAGTTGATGCAAAGAAATCGCTGGCTACTGCGGCCGTTCCTGCTGCAGCGCCAAGCTCTCACCAAGGAACGCCACCCGAGCCTTGTTCTTCGGGCGCGGTCCAATCCAGCATGCCCTCTGGCCCACAACCCGCGGCAGCAGACACCAGCCAGGGCCCCACGCTACCCGAGCAGCAGCCGGGCGCGTGGAACAGCCAAGCAGAAAAAAACACCCAGCAAACTGCCACGCCACCTGAGCAGCAATCGGGCGCGTGGAGCAGCCAGGCAAGCCAGGCATGCCATGCATGGAACAGCTTGCAACCTGATCCGCAGTCAGACTCACAGCCCGGCACATGGAGCAGCGAGATTAGCCGGCCCGTAGACCATCTGCAGCAGAGCAACGTGCTACCCGACCCGCCGGGCGCATACCAGTGGAAGAGCCAGCATCCAGACCCGCTGCCCGACGACCAATCGTCGGGCGCGTGGAAAAACAATGACAAAGACTTAGTGCCTCCTGCCCATGGCATTGTCTGTGATCGATGTGGTCACTTTGTCAGGGGAGGTCGCTGGGCATTGCACATGCACCAGCTAACCTCTAGCAAGTGTTTGAGTGCGAGTGGAAGACTTGCCACTGCACGTGAGCCTTGTGTTCGCTGCGGCAAGATGATCGCATCACAAGATTCGTGGGCGCGCGAGCAACATTCAAGACACTGCGATGCCAATCGTCGCCGCCGTGCTGCTTCGCAGCAGCCTGCTGCATCAGGGTGGCCGGGAAGGCATCGTGCAGAGGACGATGAAAACAAATTTGCACCGTCGGTTCAGCATGAAAACTGGGACCGCTATGAAACCCGGAGCCCAGCTGCTAACACCGCTGAGGAGGCATGGGGCTGGAGCCGCTATGCAGATGACAACGCTACCACGAACCATGCTGACGACAGCCGGAGTTGGACCCGCAATGATGAGGGCGGGAATTGTGCCACGACTTGGCGCTGGAGGGATCATTATAGTGAAAGGAACAATTGGAATCATGGGTGGGGGCATAACTTACCCACAGCTACCACTCCTGGGTGGCGCTGGTTGGAAGAAGGTGACCAAAGCTTGTCAGCTACCAACTATGGTTGGCGCTGGAGCAACGAAAGCTGCAGGCAAGAGTGGCCTAACTGGACCCAACAAGACCAAGAAAACCATGAGCTGGCCACCAGCAACCGCTGGCGCCGCCATGACCGCACAAATTATGACTGGCATTGATGAAATTCAGCAGTGAAAAAAAGGTGCGTGCTCTGTGGGGGCTAAGGGCTTTTTTGTTTTCGTAAGATCTTTGTTTGGGCCGCTGCCTCCGCACATCTGATGCTTAGCTGCATTGATAACTGCCACCAGGGGAAGCAATCAATACAAAGTTGAGCTGACCAAACCTTTTGTATATATATATAGTATTATGGTTTGGGGCACCTACTCCGTATTACCTATGTTGTCACTTTAGACATGTTTAAGCAGGAAACCCCGTAAATCGGCACCCCTCCAGAAAAATGTGAAACCGCCATTCTGTTTTTACACTGGTCGTTTAGGTTATGGTCATGCGAGCCGTTTCTGTTTTTGGACAGAATTGATGTTTAACATTTGTGTTTTCAATCTGGTGCTGGCTCAAAGCAGAACGTAGGCAGTGAAAAAAGTATTTCTATTAAGGGGTTAAAACGACATGTTTGTTAGCATTACTGTATGACGACTGTGCCAAAAAAGGGACATGAAGAACCACACATTCTAATAAAGTGACTGACATTGCACAGTTTCCATGTAAATAGCCAGCAGCACTGCATAGTTTCTTGTTGATGCCATGCCCCGACACCTAGACGTGTCACCTGCAAGCCCCGCCACGACGCCAACAGAAAACCCACATGCAGCAAAATCAGAGAAGAAGAAAAAGCAAGCAAAATCAGAGAAGAAGAAAAAGCAAGTGCCTAAATCCTGCGGCAAACAGAAGAGAAGCCCAAAAAAGGAAGCAGCCGAAGATTCCTCCTACTACTCTGCCACAAGTAGCGGAGGTGATCCTAGTTCGGAAGAGGCAGAAACGAAAGCTGCCCCTTCCAAGTCACCTTCTGCAGCTGATCCCAAACCAAAAATAATTCGTCGGCCCCCCAGCCCACCAAAGCCATTTTGGCGGCTGCGAGAAAATTTTGATGCGCAACAAATCCGGCTCGTGGAGAAGGCAAACCGCTCCTCAACTCCAGCAACAAAAGCAAAACCTGTGGCGGCTCAGGCTGCACCGCCTAGCCCACCACAGGATCCACCGCCCACGAAAAAAAAATACAAGGCAGAAAGACGGCAGGCGCGGTCTACCAGCAGGGCAGCACCTGGCCCACCCCAAGCAACAGCTACTGCAGCCAGCACTGCCGGGGCGGCGAATGCTGCAATGCTTAGCCCACCCCGGTCTGAGGCCCCACCAAGACCATCGCGCAGTAGGAGAAGGAGAGAGTCTGCAGAGGCGGCTAGGGCCGAAGAGCCTGGCCCACCTCTGCGGCCAAGAAGCCCCAGCTGCAGCCCGCCACCTCTGAGAAGCCGGAGTCGCAGCACGCGACGGGCGGAAGTCGGAGACAAGTGCGCGGGCCCACGAAAGGCGGACGTGAGAGATGAGGAAGGGAGCCAAGTCATCACTATCCGCTGTCCTATCTGCAAGCATGTCCTGAAAGGCGTTCCAGGCAACAATTTTGCGCTACGCATGCGCCAGAGAAGCTCAAGCAAGTGTTTGCGCGCGCAGGGGGTCTTGCCGAAAGCAAAGAGCCGCTGCCAGGACTGTGGGCGCCTGCTGGCTGCAAATGATAGATGGGCTGCGGTGCAGCACAGCTATTACTGCCCTGGCCCAGCCCAGCGATCTTC